CAAAAGTACTGCAAAGTTCAAGCCACAAGCAATTTGGGCAACAATTGGCCAAAACAATGCGCGCTTATTGGCAAATAGAAACTCATAGACAAAAACACACACACACACTTGGGTGAGGTGTTAGGGCCCTGGGGCCAATTTGTGGATTTATGACGATTGATTTTGACGTGGTCAACAAGGCAGCAAGTTGGCCAAATTGGCGGCAGGAGAAAAGTACAACAACAACGTTGGCAACAAAAATGCAATGCAATTTGCACCGTTAAATGGCTATCCAAGACGCAAAACCAAATTAACGCCAAGCAACAACAGCAGCAGCAGCAGCAGCAGCAACAACAACACCAGCAGCAGCAGCAGCAATCAAAGTGTAATGCGATAAGCCAGCAATTGGAATCGGCAACATAGATGCGGATACCATCACCATGTCGATTGTGGTCCCCTCTGCCTCTCTTTGTCTCCTCAACCATACACAGAGAGAAAAAATCTCAATTTCGATCCTAACAATCGACTGAGATTGATCTGAGAATTTGATATATTTGAAAGCAAGTAGTTCTTGATCCAATTACATATTCAGCTTGCATCGAAATTTGAGCAACATTTACATATTTTTGCTCTGTTAAGTTAGAAAAAAAAACCAATTTCGCTTTTCTACTCGCATTAAGAATCTTGTACTTCTTTCTAGCATTTCAAGCAAACATTTCTTTTAAGATTTGTAATATTTGATTGATGATTTTTGTTTAAGTTCTTTCTAAAACAAACTTGATGCAGGGTAGGCAGACTTTATAATAAAATGTCCTGTTTTTTTGCAGTGTACCAAACTCAGTTCTTCTTGTTCTCACTGTTGAATGCATGAGGTTAGGTCAGCCAGCTGCTGCTGTTGCTGATGCTTTTGCTGATCGGTATGGACTGAGATCGAGTTCGCTTCTTGTGTGCTAAATGTCAATTTGGTACCAGAATCCACACAGAAGAATCCAATTAAAGCAAGCATAGCTTACACTACACAGTTTCTGCAGCTTGCAAATTGCCATTCAACAAAGCCAAAAGCCGTCATCCACAAAGATAGAGGCAGGCAGCGCTTTCTGGCAGAAGCTGGCATCGATCTGCTCGTCGCTGGCTGGGTCGCGAATCGTTAGAGATGCGTGCGCCAAAGTATATTTGTGGGTCATGGTACAAATCTCCAGATGCAACTGTCGACAGGCAGACAGTCAGACAGGCAGACAGTCAGACAACAGCAGACAGGCAGACAACAGCAGACAATCAGACAGCTAGTTCTCTGTCTCCGTCTCTGTCTCTGTCCCTGCCTCTGTCTTTCTCCCTGTCTCTGACGTGAGACACCTTCTGATACATATGCTAACGAAGTCAAGTTCCCACCTCTCCCTCTCTCTCTCTCTTGCCCCCTCTTTCTCTACTTTTCCCTTTTGCAGCCTGTCAAAATGTTGCGCATGTGAAAATTTTCCCACCCTCCATTGAGGCCGCCAGCGCCTTTGCAAAATGTAAATTTTATTTCTTTAGCATTCTTCTATGCGATATACATTTATATTAGTAGTGTGCCGCACGGCAACACTGGCCACGCATGCTCACAATATCGCAGCACAATCACAATGGAGTTGCTCGAGCCTCTGTGTAATTTTTCAACCATAAGCAGTTGGCTGTCCAGTGCTTACCCTTTGTGCGCACCATCCCAGAAGTTCTTTTTCATTTATTTATTTATTTATTTTTTATTTTTTGCTGCTGTTGTTGTATTTTATTTTGTGCCCACCATGCTCGGGAGACGGCTGCGCAAACATTTGCATTTGCTTCACGCATGAGCTTGGACTCGCAGTTTGAGCCATGGGCGTAGCCAGAAGCAGCTACCTAGAGCTTGGCCAAATTTGACTATGGCAAATAACAACGTTTTTGGAGCTTGCTTGCACATTCGACTTCTTAAACTAATTTTACTACATTCAAAAACAACAGGAGAGAAACAAACTCTACAGATACATTTTGCTTTCGAACTTATATTTTACGTTTTTGCCGTGAACCCTCCTGGCTAGGTCCATGGCTAGAACTTGGAGCCTCCTGCATGCATTTTTCATAACGCATATCAACGGCGACCCATTGTTGGTCAAGAGCAGAAGACTGCTTTCTGCTGCTGCTGCTTTTGCTGCTTCGGTTGCTACAGCTGATGATGATATATTGCCATTTGGCCCTAGTCTCTAAGCCTGCTTTGCAAATTTCCCATGACCGATATTTCTTTTGCACGCCCCTCTACTTACTCACTCTCACGCGTGTGCCTTCTTTTGGGCAATTGGCAATGGGTAAAAGTTTTTTTTTCCTTCTTAGCGCTGACTTTTGGCTGCTTCATTCACAAATTGAATTTGTGTCACACACTTGGCCAGCTGGCTGGCTGTCTTCTGACCACCCCTTTATTTGGTCTTAACCCAAATACTCTTGAATGCTGCCTGAAATTGTTTACCATTTAGCCAACAACAACACCAACAACAACAAAATAACAACAACATCAACAACAAATGGTAGAATAATTACAGCAACAAGTTGCTAGTTGGCACAGAGGCACATGTTGCCTGTTGTTGCCTGTTTTTATGTTTTGTGTTCGCGTGTAATAGCTTCAGAACAAGTGCCATTTTGGCCAACAACTAATAGCCAGTTTGTGTCGCTTCCGTTGTCAGTCAGGCTGACTTTGATGCTTCGGCTCCACCATCATCAACATTATCATCATGATAATCATTATCTGGCTTGTGTGAGATTATCATTATTGCTATAGTCGCTCGTCGTGTCAACTCGTCATCAAAAGCTAAATTTGTGGCTGCAACATCTCCGTGGAGCAATCATTCAAGTTGATCGAGGCGGGCTCTCGTTAGAGGGTATTCTAGCATCTAGCTAGAGAGTATTTTAATTATGGATTGAAGTCTTGAAAGAATCCCCTTCCTTGCTACAAGCAAAACTTAAATAGATATATGTTAAAATTAGACAGATCAAGCCACTTTGATAGTTTTTACTTGTAATGCTTGTTGTTTGTCAAGATATAATGAGAAAACGTAGCTGGATTCCGTTCTGCAAGGGTATTCAATCGTCGGCATGGCTTTGTTAGCTTACTTTGATGTTTTGCTACTGCATGCGATATTGCCGATTGCCACAGCACGCAGCAAATGCAATTTGTGGCTCTCGGGACTGTGACTGTGACTGTGTCTGTGTCTGAGATTCTGACTGCCAACTGCGACTGCGACTTCAACTTCAGCTCTCGCTCTGAGTCTCTTCTCCCCACAGGGGTAGCCTGCATTTTAATGAGCACATTTCGCGCATTTATGATGAGACCCGCACTAGCTCTGCCCTCTGGCATTAGCTCATTTTATTTGCTTATTTCGTTAGCGAGCAAACGACACCGCCGGCTTGTCCCCAAAAGGCGGGGCTGGGTAAGAGAAACCACTCAGATTTCAAAAGAAGAGCAGCCTCAACACCACATCGACGAGGAGTCAGTGTGACCCCCCAGAAAGAAAAGAATAGGTGACAGAGCTGCTGCAAGTCTCAAATTTATCGATAAGTCCATATGCAATGGCAATGGGTACAAATGTACCAAAAGCTGGGAACTAAAATTGCTTAATTGAATTTCTGAATATCACTTCAATTGGTGCATATGTGAAAGAGCTATGCAAATTAATGTTCCGCATAATAATTTCAATTCTTGTTTTTATTTTGTGTTTGTTTAAAAAGCAATCCTCATATCCGTGATTAATGTACCATCATTTTGGTAATATTTATGAAGCAACTATCTTAAGTCTAAGCGAGAACACGCCACACTTATCCCATTGTGCATGATGGCTTGTTATTTTTATTGCTTTTTATGAAATTGTATAACTTACGCATGCACGCCCACCTACAGCCCAGCCATCTCCCCCACTCTGTATCAACTCCACAAAAACTCCACCCTCGAAACCAACTCCCCCCTATTAATGGAAATATGGTATCGCACTCACGTGTTGCATCTCGAGGGACTTGATTAAAGGCGCATAAAAGCAAATAAAAAAAAACTTGGCTAATAAATGAAAATATGAAACGTAGTCGTCGACGTAGAAGGAAGGACACTTTGCTGTTTATTATTATTGTTGTTCTTGTTGTTGCTGTTGCTGTGCTTTATGGCATTATGTGCTCATAAGTACAAGTATATACGGGATACACTTTGTCAACCGATAGGCTGTGATATGCCCCAGCTAATTATACCGGTCGCTTATAGGGGAAGAGAGGAAACAACTTGAGCAAGTTTTTTTCGTATTTGTGTTTTTTTTTTTTTTTGGGCGTGTTTCTGACATTTTCAATCAGAGAGCAGAAAAGCAGAACTACGCAAGAACTAAATATAACCACATTTTCGACCTTTTCATAAGGTAGTTTTCGTGGCGGAGAATATTTGGTACTTTTTGAGTGAGGTGGGGAGCCTGCGAGCCATGTCAGAGAAAATTGCACATCTGTCAAATCAGCAAACAAGTGATTTCCGCAAACAATTGAAGAAAAACAGCCAGTCAGGTTTGCTCTCTCATTCCCTTGTTCGAGGGGTGCCGACTCGACTCGGACCGAGAGGATAATGGTGGTGGTGCTGGTAGTGGGGGTTGGCAGTGGTTCTGGTGGTGGTGGTGGCTCACACAACAGTCAACAGTCACCCAACCCACTCGAGAACATTCCTTCCTTTTCTGCTGTTTGTGCACGTAAATTGCTTTTGTCGAGGCTATTGAAAAATTTGAACAAAAAAAAATAAATATATATATATATATATATAAATACAAGGATGTAAGGACATGTGTCCTGTCATGCTTTTTTAATGAAGTGCCGTCGTTTAAGAAACATATTGTGGCTCGATTTGATTGTTTGTCATTGTTAAGGGTTAAACGTTCGTGGTGTTAGACGGTCTAATGGATCAATCGCCTCTATATATACATATACATATACGTTTATATGAGTAAACAATACTAAATATGTCCCCCTCTCTCTCTCTATTTCTCTCTCTGTTGCAGTTACACACACAAGCAAAGTCATGACAAGAAAACGTTCGAGTCCGCTGGGACTCGAGGAGCTGGTGTCTCTTCTGGCCATGCTGCTGATGTTGCTGCCAGCGTTAACGCAAGCCGGTAAGTGGTTTATTATGTCAACATAAATTACAGTTAGGCTCTACTAAGTATCTAAGTGCCCAACCACAAAACGCCCCATCCCCCGCCCCCTCCATTGGTCATAGGATGCTCACATATGCGCTGTCCTGTCTACTCTGATTATGCAGGCCATAAATTTGCACACATTCGTGGCTCAGACACACTTGTCGATATTTTGGAGTACACTTCAAAAAAAAATAATAATAAAAATACCCATGAATACACTCACAAGTATTAATATCATTTAATTCTGAATTTACGAAATAAATTCCTTGAAAGTCGCAATGCCCCTAAATGACTATTCCAAAATATTTCAAAAAAATTGTCGTCAACAATTCAGTTAAATTTCGAATATCATCGATTAAAATGATTACCATTTTCTAAATTTACAAATCATATATTTAAATTCTCGAAAAATCGGCCTTCTTTCTTGATACATTTAAATTTGCGGAGTGTAGTGCGTTGCACTCATTAAAGCCGAACTGTGACAAATTGCTATCAGCTGCCAACAGTTGCTGCAACGACTCTTGTCCGGGGTCAGGGGTGGTCATCAGTGTCATCCAATCAAAGGCCTGCAAAACAGTACAAAATATATTCAATTACTTGGCATGCGAAATGCTCTGTTGGGGTGTCCAAAAACTCAATTGAGTCATGCGTTTCCATTTAAATTGAAATTGAAATTGAGGCACAAAATGCCATTGACATTCAGAGAAGGGTGGTCTCGATACACATTCAGACACACCGAGCAATACATTTAAAGCTACCGTCGACCGATACTAAAATAAATGCTGACCCTTGCCATAAATAAAGTCGTGTGCTTGACAAAATGGGTGGACAGCACATTTCCCATTTTCAGAGATGCATCTGCTCTGAAACGAGGTGTTAACTTTCACATTCTTCCAAAAGAGAAAAACGCTAGAAGGTGCAGCTATTAAATGGTCGATGTGCATACAAATTTAACGACTTGCTTAAACACAAGTTTATGGCAAATAAACCCAAAAAAAATAAAAAAAAATAAACGGGGAAGAAACAGAAATACCATTTCTCATGACTGCAGAATATCGGTCAGCAGCTCGACGTAGTTAATCACATGCAAACACAACAGACGAGCGCCAAGAACCAAGAACCAAGAACCAAGAACCGAAACTAAAACCTTAACCCATAACCAAATAAACCAAATAAGAAAAATCAACTTCCCTCGGCACACTGAAACTTCAATACTCTCACATCAAAGTTTCATGATTGATTTTGATTCACAAAACCGACTAATAGTACATAAAACAATAATAAAACTTTTAAGTACTAATGCCGTTTAAGCAAATTATTTATACCTTTATCAATCTCACATAAAAATGGGAAAACTTAAGTAACCTCTAGCAATGGTATACAAAGCGAAATCCCAAACATTCTTTAATGGTCATTTTTTCTTCAATAAACAGTGCAGTGCAACTGCAGCTGCTGACTGATTTTGACTAGTCGAAAACGATGGCCAAACGATAGACGACAATAGACCAAGTTCGTCAGTCAGTCAGCCAGTCGGACAGTGGAACAGTCTTGTTGACCCACATTTAGCAGTGCTGGAAATGTTCGATTCATGCATTTGACTTCTTGGAATTTTCATTAACACATGCCACATGTCGTTATAGAAAACTGTCCAAAAATAAAATGAGGAAAGAAAAGGAAAGAAAAATCCGAAACGAAAAACAGTTTTCGTGAATGGCAGAAAGAGAACGCTTAAGAGTTTGGGGAGTCTGCTAACTGATTAGAACCAAAACTATGGCTCTTTTCTCACCTACTTATTGTATGTAAAATACACACACACACACACGCAGAACGCTGTTACACTAACAAGCAAACAAATTGAATTCAAGCACCTGGGTTTGATGAACTTACAGAACCTTTACAGCTCGCTTTGAGACTGGTAGACTATCAAGTTGTTGGCCTGGACAGGAATTTCACAGCGAGCTGTGAGTAATTGAATTGTTCCTATTATAAGAAGAACACAACAGTACATAACTCTCAGCAACGATGCGATGCGATGACTCAACACACTCATAAGTCGTATCTGTGAGATACATTTGTATCTCATTCAGCTGCCGACATCAGTACCAGTATCCAATAAATCAATAATAGCGATGTCGAGTGCTAGATATAGCCATGATTAATATATGATGTGCGCATTGCTCAATAGTCCAAAGCATGTTCAAATACTTGACAACAAGTGCCATTTTGCGTCATAACATAAAAAGTTAAAAGCTCAAAGCTAAATGCCAATTGCCAACTTGTTGCTTGCCAATTGTTTTTAAGCTCAAGTTTGGTTTCCTTATCGTGTTTAGCCTTTTACCGTTATGGCATTAAAATACAAATATTATGTATTTCGGCCTTTACCGTTGCGGTCCCAAACGCATTCAGTTGGCCAGGTTATGCAATTTTCATGCTACCAAGTTCAACTTTTAATTCAAGCTCAAGGTCGATTCAGCTGTTGGCCGATTGCTTTTACTCTGCTTGTCGGTCGATTGGTGGCTCGACGCCAGCTACAACTTCAACTCTGAGCCAAGTTAATCGACCAGTCGCTCTTCGCTGTTCGCTGCTGTCGTTGTTGCTGTCGTCGTCTTCTGTCAGCAGTCTCCGGTAGCCGCAACACATTATCATTATTTTATAAGCCACACAAAAAAGCAGACGGCAAAATTTCAAGTCGCGCTGTCTTTCCTCTCTCCCTCCCTCCCCCTCTCTCCTTGCTGGATTTCGTGGGGCGTTTTCATCAATCAATTTCGAACCTGAGTTCCTTATACTTATGCACCCTTTACAAAGGGTACTATAATTTTGTAATTGAATTCAAATTGATTTAATAAAATTTTAATTTTCCTTTTAACAGCTTTTTAAGCTGGAGAAACTCAACAGTTACTCAAATTTTATTAGTCTGATTAATTACCCAATATATTGTTTTCATAAAATGTTTAATTGCTCATGATCACAATACAAGCTTAAGCAAGAGTATCAAATCTTCGACAATTGATATCCAATCGATCTTGCCTGGTTTTTTCTCATGCTTATGAACTATTAGACACAGGTGTGATTTGTGTTTTTATTTTTGTTTTTTTGTTTATTGTTGATTGGCATCTGCTTGACGATTCTTCAATTTGCTGATTCTTCTGCGGATGCTGCTGTTGTTATAGGGGCTGGGCATTTGACACCAACGAAAGTACTTCTGCTCCAGCTCTTATATATATAACTCTACTTATGTGCCATGGCAAAACTGATAAGTCACAGTCAGCGAACTTGAGACTTGAATCCGGGTCTGCGACTAATTGAAGACTCTCTTTTTAAGCCAGGCCAATAACTGGGCAAATATACTTGTATATATAAAATAATATATTTATGTATATATATACATATAAAAGTTATGATGATGCTTAACTGATTGCTTAATTTATAGCCAATTACAAAGGCATTAGGCGGTTGGTAGGTAGTGATTTTTTGAGCTGAAACTTCATATTTTTGGTTTATTGCGCATATAAATCGCTTGTTAATGGCTAACTAAAATCGTGAGTTTGCGGAAGTCAAATGGCATTTTTTGGTTTTTATTGCCACTTGCCGCGCATAATTAGCTTGTATTAGCTGGCCATCTTTTTCAGCCAGAACCAAACAACAACTATCGACCACTTGACCAGAACCTTCTGGACTCGCACTTCTGGTCTAAAGCAAAAACATCATTATGCTCAAGCATTAATTGCATGACTGCTCGCTGGCTTGTTCACTGGCTCATCTCATCTCAGCTCAGCTCGGCTCGGCTCGGCTCGGTTTGGATCGGCTCAATGATGATGATGATGATGATATCAGCAATCAGAAAGAACCCTCAGCAGCAGCCTCAGCAGCTGTTGGGGCTTTAATCAAGATTTGATGCTGGCTCGTCAGCAGCTTAGCCACGCGCATATAATTAACATTTTGGCCAGGTTCAATGTCAAGTGAAGCTGCTACGGCTTATCAGCTGCTTGATAGCCACAATCCCACAACGGTATGCGGCACTCTATTCAGGATGCCAATACACTAAAAGAAAAGAAACTACCAAAAAAAAACTATGCATTCGATTGCGAATTCATTTCTTATATTCATTTAACATTAAATACATTTACAATTTAGAAAAACAATTATTATCTGATTTTTGGATAGAGTAAAAATTGCTTCAATCAAACTTTCATTGACGCAAATGGAAATTGTAAATGTTTAATTTATGGAAAACATTTTTGTATTGTAGAACATGACACACAAACCGATTGTAGCCTCTTTCCTGTTTTGCTGAGTGTAGGCGTGGCTGGCTGCGATCGTAAATATTTCGTATGCAAACACGTTGACAGCGTCGTCGTCGTCGTTGTCGTCTACCTGTGCATATACTTATAGCTATGACTGTACCTACTTACCAGTACCTGTAGCATCATATCCACATACCAATAGCCACATATTTTGTAGTCGAACTTGGCTTATTTGCGTGGCAAACAACGGGCCAACAAACGGCTGACCATTGACCGATTTGGACGCCGTTCAAGAAGAAGCTGTGACTGAGTGTGTGTGTTGGCTGCGTAGCTGTGGAATTTCATAGCCACTTGAGCAACAAGTACGCGGAGTTAGAGATCACGAACTTGCGGGTTAAGCTGGCCCACACGATGCTGTCTTATTGGCAACAGGATGAGGCCATGCAGATTTTATGTTTGTTAGCCAAAAAAAAAAAAAAATGACACATATGCTGCTGGCCAACTTTCGAGCATCGGCGACACAATTAGAATCCGCCTAAGCTCCAGCCTTTTGGCCATAAATATGTAAGAGCCACATTGACTTTTGTTTCGGGGCCCACCTAAGACGCCCCGAAAGTCGTACATCAATTTGTCAAAATAAAAAATAGAAACGAATTTTTAACTCTTCGCTGACTTCAAACTGTTCATGATAAATTGACCATGACAGAGCGCAGAGTTATGATCGTAAAACTA